TTATTTTACAATAACTAATGAAAAAATAATTTATTTTTCAAATATTTCTAAAAAGAGTAATGCCCCTTACCTTAATTATTCACAAGCACCAGCTAAATGCAAGACCAAGAATTACTCGCACCTTAATACAACAAGCATATTCTAGTCATCATTTAAATTTGATCTATATTTTACTCTAACAATTAAATAACAAGTTAATAACAATTAATTCTTATTCACCCAACCAAAAATCCCATCTAAGAATAATAAGAAGTTAAACTCATACAAGCATTTAATCAAATTACTCAACAAGAGTCAACACTAAAATATATAACTAAAATTGGCAGTATGCTTGCCAACCCTTCTTGTCACATTGCATAGAAATGGGAAACAAGTCTTCTTAACTATTTAACAAAAGCTTTGCCAGTCTAACCATTTAACTAATCAAATATTTGACTTATATATAATATATCCGGTTGGAGGTAGAATCTTCCCCTAGAAAAAAGCAATTATTCAATTCAACCAAATTCCACACACCCAATGCCTCTAAATAATTATCAACAGAAATCCAACAATTTTTTCACATTTTGCCACCCACCAAGCATCCTTTCCTCTTTTACAATTCTCAATATAATAAAGGGATTGGCACAAGATAAGGATGCAATAAATGCACATTTTTATAATTAATATGTATATAGAAATCATAACAATTAATTTGAATTTAATTAATTAATTAATTAAAACTATCTATGTGATAACAATACTAAAATAAAAGTTAATTTTTATTTTTTTGTGTAAATTAATTATAAAATATGCATTTATTACACCTTAACTTATATCCTTATGATATAGGTTAAACAAACTCTATAATAAATTACTCATTAAATCCCACATATCAGCCACGAAAATTTCCAGCCATTCCATGCAAAACAGGTTATCTTAATATTAAATCAATTTTCAATTCCAAAGCCTCCATATCACAAAACTGCCGTATTTCATCCCAAACATTTTACAACCATCATGCTTGATCCACATTTATTTTAAAAATGAATCCATTTTAAAAGAAATACCATAAAGAAAATAATTTAAAAAATTTTATATTTTTAAATAGATTTGTTTTATAATAACAAGTGAAAAAATAATTTATTTTTCAAACATTTCTAGAAAGAGTAATGCCGATTACTTTAATTATTCACTGAGCACTAGCCAAATACAAAGTCAAGAATTACACATATCCTAATACAACAAACATATCCTAGTCAACATTTAAAGTTGATCTATACTTTACTCGGACAATTAAATAACAAGTTAACAAAAATTAATTCTTATTCACCAAAGCAAAAAGCTCATCAAAGAATAAGAAGTTAAAAGTCATGCAAGCATTTAATCAAATTACTCAACCAAGTCAACACCAAAATGTATAACTAATTAAAACTGACAGTAGGCTTTCCAACCCTTCTTGTCATATAGCATAGAAATGGGAAACAAGTCTTCTTAATTATTTAACAAAAGCTTTGCCAATCTAACTATTTAACTAATCAAATATTTAACTTATATATACTATATCTAATCGGAGGTAGAATCTTCCCCTAAAAAAAAAAAAAATTGTTCAATTCAATCAAATTCCACACACCAATGCCTCTAAATAATAATCAACATAAATCCAACAATCCTTTCACATTTTGCCACCCATGCCACCAAGCATTCTTTCCTCTTTTACAATTCTCAATATAATAAAATACTCATTAAATCCCACACATCAACCACGAAAACTTCCTGCCATTAGATGAATTAATCTAATCCCAACAAAGATCAAACTCCCACTTGTCTGACCCACCACAAAAGAAATGGACACTACCATAGAAATCAATATACCCATGCTAAATTTACAAGCCAACATCATGAATTTACATTAGGCAGGTCGATTTCCGTTACTTTAATGACTAAACTCAAGGCTCTCTTTTGATAGTACCCTCTATACCCAAAATCTATGTCCAAAATTTTTAGATGATTTTTGAATTAAACTAAGAAATCACTATAAAACTAAGAAAATTACCTTGAACTATTTTGGCAACTATGTTCACCCAATTTGTGCAGTCTCCTCACTGCTCCTGAGTAGGGAAACCGGTGTGAGGGAGAGGCTCTGCAATGCTAATCTTAGGTTTCTAATTTAAATTTATATATTTTAGAAATCATTCCTCCAACCTTACAATCATTAAACACATAAGTTCTCATATTTCCATCTTATTGCATACACATCCTTAAGAGATTAAATTGAATCAAATCAAAAATTTTGGGTATTGCAGCTTAGCCACCCAATATGTTGCCACATTAGCTTTCTTAACTGCAAAGGAAATCCTGCAAGAAGGAAAAGAGCTCTTAATGGTCATCCTCTCCTTAACCACAAAAGAAATAGTCCACTAGACTCTTGTAACATCCTGAAAACATTTGAACAAGTCTTTAGAATCTATCTCAAAAATTGCCAAACTATAATTCGTACTAGCAACAAGTTTCACTCCTCTCAATAAAGCTATTGCTTCCATCATTACAGCAAAACTAGCTAAGGCTGTTCCATTATCACCATTAATCAAAAAACCATTATCATCCCTAACAAGAACACCAAATCCACTTG